TATTCATTGATATGTTGTCAAATTCAGTTTTCTGTACACTGATACATATTCCATTTTGTACTATTAGATACACATATTTTTAATTTTTAACTTATTTTTATGAGGAAATTAAATATTTTCTGAAAAAAAAATCATTTTGTTACTGTGCTCTACCAACAAACCTGAAACAACTTTCATCCAAATCAACTAATTCATTTAAATATCTGCACAATGGCAACATATCTAAAGGCCTAGTTTACACATTCTATTCTATATAACACTGTTTTACAGTTACATGGTATATAATAAAAGAACATTTTTGTAATAAACATTTTCTCTTTGATATGATACAGAACAGTTTTCTCATACTCCCCCGCAATCACTCAAATATATTAAAAATGTATCCTTTTTGAAAAGGCACACACATTTACAGGTTCAAATCTTTATTGTTTTAAAATTGTACAGGTCTTTTACAATACAATATTGTTATTTAAATGACCTTTAAATGGTTAGTGCGGTTTTTCTGAAATGTAACCATGAATTATGATTTCATCAATATGATTATTCTAAATAGAGTCATAAAGATGTTGGGAAGGTTTGAGCGCTGCACTGGAAAACGTCAAAAGCAGACTCTTCCCTGCAGAACCCAGATGACTATCTGTTGAAAGTGCTTTTCAGGATTGCTGATTATTTATGGCTGATCTTAAAGTCAGTCAGTCAAATTACAGAGTTCCTTTATGAAACATCAAAGGGCATTAAAAAAATGAAATAATTTGCTTTAGTAATCTACTGAGGCAAACTCAAAAGTTATGATTATCTGCATGCAGCAACACTCTTTAGTTTTGAAGAATTTATACATTTTTATAAAGAATGTGTTAAAGAGTGCAAGTATTCTGATACTGATTTCACAAAAGGACAAATGCTGGTAATAACAGCTAACATTTAACATCTAACTTCAAGCTAATGTATATTTAACAGGCAATTAATATGGCTAACCATAAGCCACAATGCACAGGGTATGCCCTTTGAGAAGATGAATTAGTTTGGTCCGCATTTCTAGTTATCGGGGTATAAAAGAGAAAACAAAAACAAAAACAAAAACAAAAACCCCAAACCATTTTAATTCAGCCAAGGGTTGTGATGAATTTATTGTTCCTAAATTGTAGCCAGTTAAAAAGTACACCGATGAAATATACTGTCATGATGATTTTTGTATAAAAAGATGGCCTGCTGTTTTTGAGGTGATTAATGAGCAATGTAGGACAAGTCAGAAAATGACATAAAATGTAATAATTTCTTCCATAGGTTATACTTTCTTATTCCATGACACAGCTTTCACTCTGTAAAACTTTGTCCCCAAAGGAACTTTAAATCTGTTTTGTGCCTAAGGAGGAAAGAAAAAATGGAATCATTTGAATGATCAAATCAAATTATACAGTAACCCTTCTAGCACACTACTCATTGCTAGAGTATTGAGGGGGGTTGAGGGAGAGTATCAAACTACACAAGATCTACTCTTCACCAAATGAGAATAAAATATATTGAGCTACTAATACTGATGGAAGATAAAGACTGCTAAACAATGTTACAAAGTGAGCCATGTCATTCAAGTATCAAAAAGCCTTAATATATAGTTGAAGTTTTATAGGCTGAGCTGCAAAACACAATAAGGAAGAATACTCAGTAGATTCACATACAACTGATAAAGCTGATATTACAATCAGGTCAATTTTTAAGCCACCAAATATTTTACACTATATTTACTTTATGAAAATAAACATCAACTCTACACAGAAACAGAATTCACTGCTGTAACCAGTTATGTTGGGGCATTTTGTAGCATAATAGTTACATTAAGTAACTTACTGTAAATAGTCATAAAAAAAAAGACCTTATAGTTTTCCTTTATAGGCTGATGGCCTAGTGGTAATCTACATCTATTATCTAAAGACAAATAATATAAAAGTTATAAAATTCTTGGTTTTAATTCAGTCTAATTAAACTCAAGCTCTAACTCAAGTGACCTAACAGGCTACGAACATATAAATAATAACTTCTATATAAATATAATTTGTAGTTTATGTTACAGGATATAGTTTTTACCTTTTTGGCTTGACAGTATTCCTTTTCCATTACTTTTCCAAGCACCCAGGGTCTTCTAGATGCACCTGAAGCTAATAAATAAAACTATTAATTTCTTTTTCAAAGTACAGTTGTAATTATTTATGAAAACATAACTATCAAAATCAAAACACTAATGAAGTTTTCATGGCTAAAAAAATGCGTGAGACTCAAAACTGCTAAAATCTCTGAAATTCATAAAATTAATTCATAAAACAAAACTCAACCATGTTACCTTTTAACCAGTAATATAATATGGTTTTCACTCGTTTACTATATATACATGGTACATCAAATCACAGAAGTAACAGTTCAAGAAATACTAGTATGTAATCTAAGTATGAATCATGAATAAATCTAGGACTTCAAGGCCAACTCAACATTGCCCCCTACTGAAAGCACTGACAAAGATGACCTTTTCCATTTCTGAAAGCAAATAAAATACACTTCTAGGATCAAAGCAAAGCAATGATTTCTGATGAGCTGGCCTTTCTAACAGCACTTGTGGGAGGAGCAGGAACTACACCCTTCTCACAGGTACAGCCACAGGGTCAGGGATGGCAGTGTGAACACAGGTGGGGCTCAGTGAAGCACTTAATAATGATTAAACTCTAAGTCTAAGAGAGCAGTTCTTATACAAGGAGAGAAGGAAAACAGAACAAAGGATGAGAAAGCTAGTCCTCAGTCAAAGTGTAATATGCTAAGAGGTAAACACTCATTGTCTTTTCAAATCCACTGGAAAAGAAGTTGTCACAAAGTTGACTTAGTTATTCAGCCAATAAACCATTCAGTTTATGTGAAAGCCTTTGTGATTCTCCAAACAGACGACCTAACTGATTTTTATACGATGAAAATAAACTGGAATGCATAAAAATATGATTAATGCAGATTTTATATTTTAAAAAAACTAGAGTAAGCAGAGTTCCTTGTCAGTGACTTAATTTTTGAATAATTACACAACAGAATAAAAAGTCTTTTAAAATATATTCCTTCCAGTCTAGGGAAATATTTTAGTTATGGATGTGACACTTACCACCCTCACCTGGTTTGAGATCCAGGGCAGGCAGAGACTCTGAATGCAAAAAATATAAAGTAGGACTAACAGTAAAGAGTACATAATTGTCGTGGCGTTCATCTAGGATGATGAGTACCAAATCTCCCACCTGAAAACTAAAAGGAAAGTTAAGTTTATTGTCCTAGAGTTACTATCTGTCAATCACACTATTTTTGAAAACATTAGTGTATACAGTCAGGTCCATAGATGTTTGATACTGGTGCAGGGTGCCTACCCCACCCCCCTACCCTGGACATTTTTGTCCATGGTTGGATGAATCTAATGGATACAGAACCTATAGATAGAGGGCTTTTTATCATTATTACACATACAATACAATTATTACATATATAATACAGTGTAACACTATTTACAAGGCATACACATCAAAGTTTATGGTAAGTAATCTACAGACTTATACAGGAAGATGTGCACATAGGTTAGATGTAAATACTACCAGTATGCCATTTTATTTAAGGGATTTGAGCATCCAAGGATTTTGATACTTTAAGGGGGGTACTGGAACCAATATCCTGAGAATACTGAGACAACTGTATTCTGTGATATTCAACTACATATTAATACAATATTAAATTTGACATTTACATGATATTCTTTTTGTACTCCAGCCAGCTCCAAATAGAGTGCCGGTCACACATACACATGTTCAAAGCATGACGCTGGCAACTATCAAAGACCAAGTTTCTTTAGTGAGATTTCCTTTATCGAATATTTAAAAGAAAAAAAAAGAACTGTGTGGATGTGAGTATAAAAAGTAACCATTACAGTTCATTCAGTTAGAGAAAGTTTTCCTAATTTTTAATTTCATAGCTATAATCTTAAATTCAAAGAGAAAGAAATCTAATTAATAGCTACAATATCAACAAACTAGACCCTACAGTTTACAAGTGTAGGACTCTTCAGTATGATACAAGAAGCAACTGAGCTAGGGCCATGTGCTTAATTAGGCCTAAAGAAGTCAAAGGATATTGCCGGCTTGAGGTACAGGTTGGAAGCAACAAACATGAAAGTTTGCACTGCTATGTGCCTAGTGGTGTGTGTCTCTTTAGAGCCTTTTTAGGGCTGTTAAAAACAACAGTAAATCTTGGAAATTAAGCTCAGCTTTCTTAGTTGTTAAGATCATTTAATTTAGTAACTCTTACACCTGATAAATCATCAAAATCAGAGAGTCAGGCTTTTAAAGGATGGCAGCCTTTTATTCATTAACTGATTATGCCACAGATACTGCCACTCCAACATAGCAAGCTGAACACCAAAAGTTAAAGGGGAGGAAATTTGGGCCTCTGTGAGACAGAGTTCATCTCTAACCTTGAAAAGATCATCAATGAACTACTTGTTGATCTGACATACAGCTGGTAAATACTTATACTATTCTATTCTTTCAAGTCATTTAGCAAAGATAAAATTCTAATGCAATATGAAAGGTCAGAACCACAAATATCAATCAGCCAAAAATTTGGTCAACCTTTCTGCCACAAGTAAAATAAAACAACTTGTTTTATTTTTGTTTTTTGGACACAGGGTCTTTCTATGTGTAGTTCAGGCGGGCCTTGAACTCACTATGTAGCCCTGTCTGGGGTTGAACTCAAAAAATGATCCTCCTGCTTCAGCTTTTCGAGTGCTGGGATTACAGGCGTGTGCCACCACACCTGGAAAAATAAAATACCTTTAAAAATACTTAGTTCACTAATTTTTGCATCTGTCCTTTTGGTTATAAAATACAGGTTATTCATGAGGTGCTAACAATGTTCCTCCCCACTCAAGAGTTCCTTAAAAATAACCCAGATGAAAGAACAATTGTAACTCTGGGAAAATCTAGGTCAGGAAAAATGACTATCAAATTATTCAACTGATAGATTTCATAGTATATTATGAATCTGCAGCATATCAGTAAAATAAAGATGAGGAAACATCAAATTAAAACAAAGACTCTCCAATCAAAAAATAGAAAAAACTAAGGAGATAAATGAGATTTAAGAGGTAGCACCATTTGAACTGCTAACTTTGGTAAAAAAACCTTCAAAGATACTTGTGTGAATCATAAAGATATAACAGGAATGATTTGCAATATAATCCTCATGGTTTCAGAACAATTTAGAAAAACCTTACTTTATAATATTTTACTGAGTGTAAAGAATACAGCTGAATGAACATGGACCTGTTTTTTTTTAATTAATTCAATTCAGTAAATTTTTTCACAGAAAAAAATTAAAATGAAAATACTTACTCTCTAATTGCTATCTTTTCAGAATGCCTTGAAGATACTGAAGACATGCTCTGAGACATCTAAGAAAAAATGAATAGTTCATGAAACCTACACATTTAGAGATCTATACGTACTTACTGCAAATGAATGTTAGACACTCAGGTCCATGTCCCATTTCAAAGAATCCAACCTAATGTACTATGCTCATTAATATAATTCATTTACACAATTAGTTTCATTGGATAAATTTACCTATATTTTTACTCATGTTACTTATTTTATAACATCTGGTGAATTAAAAACTGATTTTTGAAACATTTTATTTTATATTACAGAGAAAGAGGCTGAAATTTTTTGAGTCAGAGTTTGAAAGTTCTGGCACACTGGTTTTTAAATCTTTGTGGAAAAACAACAAAAACAAGCAAAAAATACCTTTAAAATACTCTTAATGCTATTCTGGTTCAAAGTCCAGAAAGAATGGCTATTATCTGGAAATCAACCAATAACAAATGCTGGAGAGGCTTGTGGGGAAAAAGGAACCTTTTTCCACTGTTGGGAGTGTAGACTGGTGCAGCCACTGTGGAATTCAGTGTGGAGATTCTAGAGGTCCCATTTGACCCAGCTATTCCCCTTCTTGGTATCTTCCCGAAAGAATTAAAAGCATCATACCACAGTGATATACGTGCACCCATGTTTATAGTGGCACAGTTTGTAATAGCTAAAGCTTGGAAACAGTCCAAACGCCCATCGATCAATAAATGGATGAAGATGTTGGGTTTTTTTTTTATACGATGGAGTACTATTCTGTCATAAAGAAAGATACGCTTGGGATATTTCTAGCATTATATGGATGCACCTGGAGACCATACTCTTAAGAGAAATAAATCAGACATGTTTAAATACCCCATTGTTTCTCTGGTGTGGTTGAAACCGAAACTTTAAATAAGGACCAAGACAGGTATAATACATACTAGGAGACAGGAAGAAAATGTTCAAGTGAGAAGGGGGAATAAAGGAGAAGGGGCTGGGGGAAAGCAAAAAAATGAGAAAAGAAGGAAAAAAGTGAAAAAAAGCTTCTGTAAATAAGGAGGGGAAGAGGAGTTGGAGGGAGGGTAGGGGAATGGGGAAAAATAAGAAACAAGATATTATCATGTATAGGTATATTCCCTGTGATGAACATGATCATTATGTATACCTCAAGTGTATCAATAAACTTAATTTATTTAAAAATACTATTCTGACTGAAACTGGATGGGAGCAGAAAGTTTTGAGGATTGAGAACTTCCTTCCTATCTCATCTTCAAGGCAATTCGTGAAATGTCCCAATTTCATAAACCATTATCTAAATAATCACTAAAGAATAAAACATGTTCCTATGCAAGCTCAAGGACCCGAGTTCGATCCCCGGTACCAAAAAAAAAAAAAAAAGAATAAAACATGTGGTAGCCACCTGTTTTCTAATGATAAACACAGGGGAACAGTACTTTCTTTTTGTTTTTATTAGTACATGGTTACAGTATACAATGATTACATTCATCTTGAGTTGAACATTTATATAACCTATCTTCTCTAAATCATGTGATATCTAACCATGTGTATCTGATTTATTTCACTTAAGATGCATCTATTTTCCCACAAATGACTTAAGTTTATCTTTCTTTATGGCAGAGCAGTATTTTATTGTGTATAAATGTCATGTTTTCTTTATCCATTCATCTGTTGATGGACAACACAGAAGCCATTTCCGAGATTTAGCTACTGTGAATTGTGCTACTATAAGTCATAGGTCTGCATGTATCACTGTAATTCAATGACTTTAACTCCTTTGGGAGGATACCTAGGAGAGGAATAGCTGAGTTGAATGGATTTCTTGTTTTACTTTTTGAGGAATCTCCATACTGACTTCCATAATGGTTATACTAGATTACATTTCCACCAACAATGAAGAAGGGTTCCTTTGGGGACTGTACTTTCTGATTTGTAGTTGCTAGAGCTCGGTGGAACTGCTCCACTCTTCAGACTTCAATACACATATCACATCATCTTATCATTCCCGGGACACGAGTCCCAGTGTTTAGAGGCCTGATGAAGTGGCAAAAATGCCTATCTCTCCTAAGCAAAGTGGGCCCAATGCACAGACACACAAACCAAGGACAGATACATATTTATTTGTGTTTACTGAGTCTAATGTTCAGGCTCTGAATTTTCTCCATTTCTTTCCAAACACTAGTTTAAACAATGTAGGGTCTCAATAACTATTTGAAAACAAGGAGAGAAGGAAAACCTTAACAAATAATGACCAGCAAGGTCTAATAACTTATTAAAATTTCTCACACTAGAGATACTATTCGGTATTTACACAAGTGTGTCCTATTTATTTCACTTAAGAGTATGGCCTCAATGTGCATCCATTTAGCTATGTCTCTAGTTTCTCATTCTTTATGGCTGAGTAGTACTCCATTTTATTTTAAAAAATCACAGCTCTTGTATCCAGTCTCCAGTTGATTAAATTAAAATGAATAATTGATAATTTGAAATAGGAAAAGGTCCAAAGGGGTAGGGGTGGTGGGAGGGGAAGGGGAAAGGGAAGAAAGGAAAGGAAAAATTATGAGAAAG